TGTGACGTCGATATTTATCGAAGAGAAATGGTTTTAAAATGGCATTTTTTTAAAGAATTTAATGTACCTCATATGATTTTTTTTTTAAAAAAAGGTAACAGAAATATTTTATGGAATTTAATACTTTCTAGAAAATGTGCAAATAATAAACTGAAAAACATAACAAAAGGAAAAACGATTTTTCAGACGTATGTATAAGTTATCTGCCCCTGAAATAACCCCAAATAAGTAAACAAAAATCAAATTCACGTGAAGAAAATGGGATTGGTGACCTTTAAGTTGTGTTCGCTTGAAAAATTTCTTTTATCATAATATAATATCATACCAAGTTAAAAAGACTTTAAAAACCGTTTTAAACATATTTTATTAAGTTTTTTAATACGTTTTTAAATTCAGTTGTACTATGAAGAACTTTTCCATTTGGCTTTTATTATCATATAAACAACCAAAATCAGGCCTTTAAAATCTGCTTGCCCCCCAAAAATATTGTTTTTGTAAAACCTACGTGTCACATTATATTCTTTTATAAAAGATCTATAAGAAAGAGAATTCTAAGGAAAATTTTAAGCTGATAAAACTAGTTTCTTCTATTCAAACGACACTTGACATATTGTCCTTGAAGCATAAAACACTTTTAGGGCTAACTCACTTAAAACAATTAAACAATAATCACAATTATTCTTTTGGTTGCTATTTTATTTGCAGTGTCAAAATGTTTTCAAATTATTTCTCTGAACAATAGAAACCTGTCGCGACTGATTTAAATAAATTGGGAATGAACACTTTTATGTTAATAGAATAAGGAAGATATCACATCATGTGGATATCATCGTTTAATATTACCAACACTCCAAAAAAAGTATGTAATTAAGAAACAATTTTACACCACAGGCACAGATATATACTGTATCATAGGCATTGTTTATAAATGTCTACTTTAAATTATGCTCGACACTCAAACACATGCAGACAGAAAACGGCCAAAAACAAATGCTCATCAATAAAGCACTTATATATAAATTGGTCTGCGCATCGGAAAATTTCCTTTCGGTGGTGCATCAAGGTCAAATGTCTTGACTCTTAGTTTCCGCCGGGAATTGGTTCTTCGTCAGTCCAAGTTGTTAAATGCATGATCTCTTAAGGAAATGTAAAGATAAATGGCACTATATATGTTCTTACTTTACTGCGAATTTTAACTCGAATGGTGCATTATTCAACAAGAAACAACTCAAAATCGATATCTGTTCACATACAAAAATACTTCAGTAATAAAACAAAATAGTTTGTTCAACGTGGACTATTCTATGATAACACCTGCCAAATGAGTTTTGAATGGAAGCGAAAATCAGACATCTATTTGAATATATAATTATATTATTAAACACAAACTAAACACTTTTTTTCGCTTAAAATAATGGTATCGGATCCACCGCACTGCGTTACAATCGAATCCACTGTCGTCTGCGTTGTAATCATTTGTTTGTCATTTATTTTATAAACAGGCAATTACAATTTCAAAATATTCAAAAATATGGTTTTTTGTGTGAGTATTATTCATACGATGCTATGCCGTTGTATTTAGGGGTCGTTTTGCACACATTTGCACCTGTTTTAACCACAATTCGGCAAAAGTGGCGTCCCCTCGTCAAACTGTTCAGAAATGTTTGGATAAATGGCAATAAATTGCATTGTGTGCGTATAATAAGTTTGAAGATATGGGGGCTCCAGTCTCACCATGTGATTCCCGTAAAACGTTAAAACATAAAGCAAATTTCAATCAAAAACTTACCGACAACAGCAAACGCTCAATATTTACCCACCGCTTCTGTGATGAATACTCCACCGCGCTGCGATGGACCCGCCGCTTCTGCGAAAGCTATGGCCAGATTGGTTTCTGCGAGTGAGTTGCGCGCCAGTCTATTTTTGTACACCACGCTAGCTGCATGCGCAAACAAAAGGTTATATAAGATGGGAATTTTCTATTTGTTTGGGTTCTTTGAGTTTTTTTTTGGAGCTGTCGAGTTGAGTTGTTATAGTTTCAGTGTTTAATTTGCTTTTAGACTGTTTCTAGAATATACTTATGATGCATGATTTTAGTTTAATTGATTTAATTATCATTTTTCACTTGGACTTCTTTTTTATTATACAAGCATAGAGTTCTAAACGATAGACAGTTTCAGTGACAGATTTCTGGGGGTAGGGGGAGGGTGTTGTTGTTGGGGTTTTTTTTGGTTTTTTTCTTTGGGGGGGGTGTTTTTGTTGTTTTGTTGTGGTTTTTTTTTTTTGTCTTTTTTTTTGGTTTTTTAAAAGCCAGAGTTATTTCGTAACAATATCACCAAGCACTTTTATACAGGTATGACCGAGTGAACAGTGTACTGAAATTTTGCTTCTCCCCTTTAACGTCGGAACACATCCCCTATTATTTCTAATTTGAGCTTATCCGGAGACTGACGGAAATAACCGATATGTTTCTATTGTTCGCAGATACAATACAGTTAGACTAATCAGAAGTTCTTACTTTTGAACAATTAAACAAATCTTCAACCGTTGCAAAAAGACCTCTCGCATGCTTCTTTTTAAAGACACAAACTTGTTATGCTCTTTACCAGTATTATGAAGTTCTACCAACGTCGTTACAAAGGTAGCAAAGTGTAAACAAAGTAGTATTTTGACTTCCATACAAAATACAAATTCACTATAATTATACAAATTGCCAACAGAGCAAAAGTAGCAGGAGAGAGTTCATGAATATTGCTAATAAGATTTTTTTTGAAACTGTAAAAAGATACCAAAAATAAATCAGAATCAGTGGATAAATTATATTTATAACTGTCTCAGCAAAAACATTATTCTGAGTTTCAAGAACCGATACAATAGCAGCTTTCGGTCATTTCCGTCACCATCCGGTAAATATGAGCAAAGTTACAATATTAGGGACTCAATTTTAAACAGTATAACACAAAACAAAAGACAATAAGTTCCACTATATTTGCCTGGTGTTTCTTATGATTAAGCCTTAAACAAACAAAAAATAAATTTTATATTCTTATTTGTTAAATATAGCTGCTTTCATCCAACAGACTTGTGGCAAATTCGATAAAGAAAATTGTAAGTACTGACCTTTACTATTTAAAGCCTTTGAATCGTTTATACACATGTATAAAGAAACAGATACTGCGATAATCAACAGTCCAATTAAAATTGAATTTACGAGGGTACACCATAACAAAAGTGGTGTACACTTCTTGACTGAATGAGTAGTTTTATCTGCAAGCTCCCTTGTACCATGTTGAAGAGTTTCGTAAATGTTGTCCTGTTCAGTCCGATTTTTTAACTCCATATCTACATTCAAATTATCATAGATTCCCGGTTACTATTAAAATTAAATCAAATCATATTTATTCATTCAGGATACAAACATTAAAAAGTGTATTTATTTTAATTACTTAGTTAGTTACTCTTCGAAACTTGTATCGTTTTTAAGTAGAAATTATTGTTCCTTGAACACTTGATACATTTTGCAATATCATGAAAGCATACTTAGGTTTTCGTCTGTTTTAACTTCCTAGTGATGTCATGAATAATAAGGACTGGGTTATGAATTAAGGGTAATTGAGTTATTGAAATATACAGTTCGACCTCCGATTTTTGTGAAAAAGAGACATGATGTATTTTGTTGTTGTTTTTAAGATCCTTTTTTTAACACTGACAAATGTGTTGCATTAGTTTTTATAAACGTCAATATGTGAACTGAAAATAATATCAAAAACCGCTTTGACTCTCATTTATGAAATGAAAAGAACTGCATACATTCATATTTTACATTCGGTAATTAAGTGAAATATAAAGAATATGATGTGTAACTGAGATAAATATCCAACTGAAATAGGATGCAATAAGCATATTTTATACATTTGTATTTTTATTAGACAATTTAAGTTACAAATAAAATTAAAGGTACAACGAACAGATGATTAAAGTGAAAAAAATTTGCTATTGCTATGTAATGTGCTATAAAGGGTTTATCAACTATAAATGGTCCATATACTATATATGGTCCATCGGCTATAAATGGTACATCAACCAAACATGGTTCATAACTATAAATGTTTCATCAACTATTAATTGTTCATAATCTATAAATTGTCCATCAACTATTAATGGTTCATCAATAATAATGGTCCATCAAGTATAAATGGTTAATCACTTATAAATGGTTCATCAACTATAAATTGTTCATCAACTATAAATGGTTCATCAACTATAAATGGTTCATCAACTATAAATTGTCCATCAACTGCAAATGGTTGATAAACAATGAATGGTCCATCAACTATACGTGATCCATCAACTATAAATGGTCTATCTACTATAAATGTTCCATTGACAATAAATGTTTCATCAATTATAAATGGTTCATAAACTATAAATGGTTCATCAACTATAAATGGTTCATCAACTATAAATGGTCCATCAACTATAAATGGTCCATCAACTATAAAAGTCCATCATTTATAAACCGTTCACCAACTTATACTGGTTCATCAACTATAAATGGTCCATCAACTATAAATTGTCCATCAACTATAAATGGTTCATCAACTATTAATGGTCCATAAACTATAATGGTTCATAAACTGTAAATGTTTAAACAATTATAAATGGTTCATAAACTATAAATGGTCCATCAACTATAAATGGTCCATCAAATATAAATGGTCCATCAACTATAAATGGTCCATCAACTTTAAATGGTCCATCAAATATAAAAAGTCCATCATCTATAAACGGTTCACCAATTTAAAGTGGTTCATCAACTATAACTGGTCCATCAATTAAAAATGGTCCATCAAATAAAAATAGGTGGTTAACCAACTATAAATTTTCCATCATTTATAAATAAATGGTCCATCAGTGGTTTTTGAATAGCTCAGCATGGTACCATAACTAGATAATACAGTTAACTTTAAATGATGCATCAACTATAAATAGTCGATTAACTATAAATGCTCCGTCAATTTAAATGGTTCATCATCTGTAAATGGTTCTTCAGCTATAAATGGTTCATCAATTATAAACGGTCCTTCAACTATAAATGTTCCATCTCCTATTGTTGGTCCATCAACATTAGATGGTTCATCAACAAAAAGTAGTCCATCAACTATAAATTGTCCATCAACTGTAAGTGGTTCATCAACTATAAGTGATTCATCAACTATAAGTGGTCCCTCAACTATAATGGTTCATCAAGCAAAAGTGGTTCATCAACTATAAACTGTCTATAAACTTTAAAGGGTTCATCAACCAAAATTGGTTTATCAACTATAAGATGTCTATCAACTATAAACTGTCCATCAACTATAAATGGTTCATCAACTATAAATGGTCCATCAACTGCAAGTTGTCAATCAACTATAAATGGTTTGTCAAATATAAGTAGGCGGCCATAAACAGAAAGTGGTTCATCAACTATATGTTGTTCATCAACATTAAATGGTTCATCAATTTTAAATTGTCCATCACTCATGTATTGCCCATCAACTGTAAGTGGTGCATCAACATTAAGTTGTTCCTTTACTATATATCATCAACTATTAATGGTCCGTCAACTGTAAGTGTTCCATCAACTATAAATGGTTCATCAACCAAAATTGGTTTATCAACTATATGTGGTCCAACAACTATAAATGGTCAGTCAAATATAAGTAGGCCATCAACGAAAAGTGGTTCATCAACGAAAAGTGGTTCATCAACTATAAGTTGTTAATCAACCTTTGAATGGTTCATCAACTTTAAATGATCCATCAACCATCTATTGCCCATCAACTGTAAGTCGTCCATCAATTTAAGTGGTTCCTTAGCTATATATGGTTCATCAACTATAAATGGTCTGTCAAAAGTAAGTGGTCCATCAACTATAAGTGGTCCATCAACTAGTAGTGATTCATCAACTATAAGTGGCCCATCCGCAATAAATTGTCCATTAAATATAAGTGGTCCATCAAACAAAAGTGATTCATCAAATTTAAGTGGTTCATCAACTATAAATGGTTCATCAACCATATCTGGTTCATCAACCATAAGTTGTCCATCAACTATTTATAGTTTATCAACTATTAGTGTTTCATGAACTATAAGTGGTCCATCAACTATAAATGGTCCATCAAATATAAGTGAACATAAACTATAAGTGGTCCATTAACTATAAATGGTCCATCAACCAAAAGTTGTTCATTATATATAAACGGTCCATCAACTATCAATGGTAAATCAACCCAAAGTGGTTTGTGAGAAGCTTTGCATGGTACCATTACTAGGAAATACAACTAACTTTAAATGATTTATCAACTTCAAAAAGGTCATCACCTTTAACGTTTAATCAACGTGTAGTAGTTTATCAACTATAAATGGTCAATCAACAATAAACTGTCCATCAACTGTAAGTGGTCCATCAACTATAAGTGGTCCATCAACTAGTAGTGATTCATCAACTATAAGTGGTCCATCGACTATTAATGGTCTATCAAATATAACTGGTCCATCAACCAAAAGTGATTCATCAAATTTAAGTGGTTCATCAACTATAAATGGTTCATCAACCATATCTGGTTCGTCAACCATAAGTTGTCCATCAACTATTAGTGTTTCATGAACTATAAGTGGTCCATCAACCAGAAATGGTCCATCAAATATAGATCATAAACTATAAGTGGTCCATCAACTATAAATGGTCCATCAACCAGAAGTTGTTCATCATATATAAACGGTCCATTAACTATCAATGGTAAATCAACCTAAATAGTTTTGTCAGAAGCTTAGCATGGTGCCATTACTAGGAAATACAACTAACTTTAAATGATTTATCAATTTCAAAAAGGTCATCACCTTTAACGGTTAATCAACGTATAGTGGTTTATCAACTATAAATGGTCAATCAACAATAAATTGTCCATCAACTGTAAGTGGTCCATCAACTAATAGTCGTACATCAACTAGTCGAGACAAGACCTCGAAACTGAACACTTAGAAATTGTATGGGCTGACTTATTACTTCCTAAAACTAAACCAATTTTAATAAATTCATGTTATAGACCTCCAAAACAATCTTATGTTGACTTTTTAGATATGTTTGAAACAGTTTTGTCTAAAATAAGATCGGACACTGAATGTTTTTTCTTGGGTGATCTAAATATTGATTGGTTGGACAAAACATCTTCTGTATTTATGAAATATGAATGTGTTCTTAAAATCTTTAATTTAACACAGATTATAAAAGAACCTACTAGAATTACATTAAATACAAAAAAGTTAATAGATCATATATTATGTAGTCATTCTGATAAGGTTTTTCAGTCAGGTACTTTACCTATTGGTCTTAGCGACCACCTGCCTGTATATTGTACAAGAAAATTACAAAAAGGCACTTTTAATAAACACAAAAATATTATTATTAGATCAATGAAAAACTACTCTGCTGAAATTTTTATACATAATCTTAAACTTTGTGACTGGTCGAGTATGTTTACGGCCAAATCTGTCGATGAGTCTTGGCTACTTTTTAAAGATATGTTTTTATCAGTTTTAAATGTAGTGGCTCCTGTAAAAGAAGTAAGACTTAAACAAAGGAGTGAACTTTGGTTAGACTCTAACATATTAGAATTAATTAATATGAGAGATTATTTTTTACAAGAATTTAGAAAACATAATCAGAAAGATATGTATAATAAATACTGACTTTATAGAAATTTAATACAGAGACATATAAAAAAGCTAAGTCTGGATACATCTCACATCAATTACAAGAAAATAAATATAATCCAAAGAAATTGTGGTCTCAATTAAAAGACCTTGGTTACAGTAAAAAAACCAAATCTTCACCAAATATTGTACTTAACATAGATGATGAAAATTGTTTTGAACCAACAAAAATTGCTTGTCATTTTAATCAGTTTTCTACTACTGTTGCTTCTGTTTTGGTGGATAAATTGCCAAATCCATTTAACCTTTTTTCTGTAGAATCAGACATCTAGAATTCTATAAGAACAGAAATCCAGATGGAAATAAATTTCAATTACATACTGTTAGTGAAGAATATATATATAAAGAGCTTTGTAAATTAAATTGTTCTAAAAGCACAGGATTAGATGAAATTCCAGCAAAATTTCTTAAAGATGCTGCACCATTTTTAAAGATACATATTACCTTTTTAGTGAATAATTCTATTACATCTAAATCAGTTCCAAATGAACTGAAATGTGCTAAAGTCAAACCATTATTCAAAAAGAATAACAGATCTGATGTTTCCAACTATAGACCTGTCAGTATTTTATCTATTGTTTCAAAAATCTTAGAAAGAACTGTATATAATCAGTTAGAAAATTTTTTAGTTAAGCAGGGACTATTATATGAATTACAAAGTGGTTTTAGATGTAATTATTCTACTGACTCCTGCCTAATCCATCTCACTGACCATGTAAAAAGTCAAACTTCCAAAGGACTGCTCACCGGTATGATTATGTTAGATTTACAAAAGGCGTTTGACACTGTGGACCATGACATCTTGTGTAGAAAGTTACAAAAAATGGGTGTGGAGTCAGTAGAATGGTTTCAATCTTATTTAACTGGTCGTAGTCAAATTGTAAATGTAAATAATACTATGTCTGAAGCTATGAATATTACATGTGGTGTTCCTCAGGGAAGTATATTGGGTCCTCTATTGTTTCTATGTTATGTCAATGATATGAGTATTAGTATTAGCAAAAAATGTAAGTTTATTCTTTATGCAGATGATAGTGCAATTTTATATTCACATAAAGATCCAGATGTTATTTGTAATGTTTTGGGTGAGGAACTAGAAAATTGTAGTAAATGGCTTGTTGATAATAAGCTATCATTACATCTTGGTAAAACAGAATGTATTGTTTTTAGTTCTAAGAGGAAATTGTCAAAACTAGAGCAGTTTAAAATACACTGTAATAATCACACCATACAATCTCAGCCATCAGTAAAGTATCTCGATTCTATCTTGGATAATGATCTCTCAGCCACTTCTATTGTTGATAATATAGTACAAAAAGTAAACTCTCGATTAAAATTTTTGTATAGACAAGGCAACAGTTTGAATATGGAGCTAAGAAAACTATTATGTAACTCTTTAATACAGTGTCACTTCGATTATGCCAGCTCATCTTGGTATAGTGGCCTTACTAAACAACTTAAACATAAACTTCAAGTAGCACAAAACAAAGTTGTTCGTTATATTCATGGTTATTCTTCTAGAAAATCATTGAAAGTTATTGATTTTAGCAGTATTGGGTGGCTTAATATAGAAAATAGAGTCATACAGTTAAGACTCAATCATGTACACAAAATATTTAATAAAAAGTGTCTATCTTATATGTATGATAACTTTTCTTTAAAGTCTGATGTTCATTGTTATAATAGTAGAAACAGTGTAGGGAACTTTCATATACCCCATGTTAATAGTTTTACAAAAAGTACATTTTTTTCCAGGGTATTAGGGATTGGAACATGCTCCCACTTGATATTAAAAAGGAAAGTAACTTTTTTAACTTTAAAAAGAAAGTAAAAGCTGAACTAAGCAAAAATATGAAACAATTTGAACAAGCTGATTTTATTTTTTATTAGTTTTAGAGATAATTGTTTTAATCAATATAGTATGTTTTATATAAATGTATCTTGTGATTGGTTTTGTGATATATATAAATAGATATCTTTCATTGGTGTGTTAACATGTCATATTCATAGTATTATTCCTGCAAATATGTGATATATGTAATTAACATAATGTGCAATAGAAATTAATATTATTTGATCTTAGAAATTTAACAGAACAGAACAGAACAGAAAATTTATTCAGTCTTATGCATATACAGCACATCGACATCAACCAATATATATATATATATATACATTTGTGACAACAATGACATAGTTAAAACACATAATTATATACAAGTTACATAATCAAAGAGAGTGTTTCTAAAGTTTAGATATCACATAAATCGATTAACAAAAAATGTTACTGATAATAAATTACTCTTTCCGGATATTAGTAAATGCAATACATGTGTAGTTCTTCCTCTACGCGGCATTTAAAAATTCTTGTCGTTTATGGAAAGCATGTTTTATATACACATCAGTCCAGTATATCATCTCTAAGTATGGACCTGAATGCCAGTTCTCAAGAAAATATATTCTTTACCATCAAAGGATCCCATTGGAAATAAGTTCTCTATTTTATATTGAACTTTCATGGGTTATCCTGTGTTGTATATATTGTCTTGAAGTCTACAAGATCTTTGATTTAATTATAAATGTAAAGTTATTATTTTTCAATTAATTACTGTGTTAAAAACAATGTGATAGATATAACTGTGATAATTGTCTTAATTTGTTTTGTAATATGACACATATATATATATATATATATATATATATATATATATATATATATATATATATATATATATACACAAATAAATCAATCAATCAATCATTAACTATAAGTGGTCCATCAGTTATAAATGATCCATCAAATATAAGTGGTCAATCAACTATAAATGGTACATCTACTACAAGTGGTTCATCAACAAAAGGTGGCTAACCAACTATAAGTGGTACATCAACTATAAATGGTCCATCATTTATAAATGAATGGTGTATCAACTATCAGTGGTTTTTGAGAAGCTTAGCATGGTACAATAAATAGGAAATACAATTAACTATAAATGATCAATCAACTATAAATTGTCCATCAACTATAAATGCTCCGTCAATTTAAATGGTTCATGAATTATAAATGGTCCATCAACTATAAAAGGTCAATCAATTATAAATGGTCCATCAACTATAAATTGTCTATCAACTGTAAATGGTTCATCAACTTTAAGTGGTCCATCAACTTTAAATGGTTCATCAACTATAAATTGTCCATCACCTGTAAGTGGCCCATCAACTATAAATGTTTCATCAAGTAAAAGTGGCCAATCAACTATAAAAGGTGCATCAACTATCAATGGTCCATCAACCAAAAAAGTTCTGTCAATCAACTATAAATGGTTCATCAACTATTAGTGGTCCATCAACTTTAAATGGTTCATCAACTATAAATTGTCCATCAAATATAAGTGGTCCATCAACCAAAATTTGTTCAACAACTATAAGTGGTCCATCAACTATAAATGGTCAATCAACCAAAAGTGGTCCATCAAATATAAGTGGATCATCAACTATAAATGGTCCATCAACCAAAAGTGGTTCATCAACTATAAGTGGATCATCAGCTATAAATGGTCCATCAACCAAAAGTGGTCCCTCAACTATAAATGATCAATCAACTTAGGTGATAAGGATGATAACTCGTGCGTCGGCATGTCGACACATTTCAACGCAACAAGACGTCTTCTATCATTGTTTGATGGGATCATAAAGACGTCTTGACAAAGTCTGTTTCAAGGCATTTCGGCATATATTTTTGTCAGTGATATAGTTGATGAGAATCGAGAAAAACTAAGTCAACCTATTCCCTCTTGACAAGCCTTGTCATATCTCTGCTCTTTTGAAAATATCACGACATAACATCATTGACACTGTTGGAAAAACCTTTTTGAAGTACATTTCGGTAATACTGTTCGATAGAAACTTTGAAAGGTAATTTGAACTGAGTATAAGTTTGTTCCTGCAATGCATTTTGCATGTACAGACTCAAACCGAGTCTGCAATTTTCATGTTCTTTGTTCCGAGTGATCACACTTTATCCAGATTTTTATTTAACTTGTAGTTACACAAGATGATTAACCTCAGTCAGTGCTTGCTTAGCTACCTTTTACATCAGAATGGTTAGAAATATTGTTGACCAGACTAATATTTGACTGTTTGCTAATGCGAAATGCACTTCATTTTGTATAGACATTGATGGAAGTAAAAATGTCCTTATACAGATGTTTATAAATACGCCTTTAACTTGGTATCTTAAAAATGGTGTCTTCCAGTATAATACTTATACAATAAAGCTGTAAGTAACTTAACTGATATACTGTCATTTACACAGTTACCATGTGTTCAGACGGCCCTCAGATGGAACCTATTTGTACTTTACTTACATATACAAAACGTAGTAGGTTTACAACCGTAAATAGGCACATATATGTGACTGTTATACTGCCAATCACTTCGTCAATAGCAGACAAATAAACAGAATAGTTTAAGGAAACACATCAGACGTCCGTGTTTTGTGTCCCTCTGCATTTTACTGTCATAAACTATGCTAAAGTATAGTTACCAGCAGTCTATTCAGCATACAAATGAATACATAATGCATTACATATTGTTATAATATAAATTATTATTGATATATCTAACAGATATTCTGTTATCACTTTAATAGGTAGAAAAAAATATTAACAAAACAGCAGATGTGGCTGTTAACTGAAAATTTCCTTTTAATGGTATCCAGATACCTTTTTAATAGTAAATGAATATCAATAAATTTATATAAAAAAACTAACGGAAGTAATTTTTCTGGTTTTACTGCCAGCCAGATAGATAAAAGACTATAAAATGCACTTCAAATGCGAGTATATGCATAAAACTATTTGTTAAAGTGTCCCTTGAAAAGTTTAGCTGAAAGGTTATTTGGACAGAACTAAAGTAATTCACCTTGTTTTATTTCAAGTAAGGTTATTCAACGAAATGCGCAGCTTGTGTTGTAAAAGTTAATTCAGAAGACATATTAAAGATCGAATTAAACATCAGACTGATACACTTTTAATATATTATCCGGAATTGTTTTCTTAATAACGTACGGTTCAAAACATTAAGTTTGTTAATGAAATCAACGATAAAGTTATATATGAAGTTAGTCAATCAGTACTAGATGGGTGGGATTGAGCTTCCGAATAAGAATTAGGCCGTACCAATGGTCCCCGTCTATTTTATTTTAGACAAAAGTTATGTGGACATGTCCTGATACAGATGTTGTCAAGATTTTATTTGACTTCATCAAAACAATGATAAAACACGTCATGTCGAACAAATATAATTATGTTAACATGACCACATATGAATTATTACGTACCACGGCATCTCAGCGGGTCAATTCAAGCTTTCATAAAATAGCTTTTTTGCTGGATCATAAGAAAAAGACAGATCTTAGGAAAATGATTTTTGTGGCCAATATTTATTCAAGAACATGAAATAAAGAACAATGACCGATATATGGGCTCTCTTTCCTAGCCACACACTTATGTAATATTTATTATAATAATTATTATTATAATAATTATTATTATTATTATTTATTTTCGACACTTATTATTTTACTTTATACCTACTATACCTACAACGCTATGAGTCCCTACCAGGTAATGTTGAAATCAAAGACTTGGTTCATTTATTTTTTTAAGAAGTCCACAGGGCGGCAATGTAATTTCAAACTTACAAAATAATTAGGTACATGGAAGTGGCTACCCCTCGGAATAAATAAAACAAAACATCAATAATTGTTTTCTTTTTATGTATTCTTTATTCATGTTACTGATTCTAACTCAGCCGATTATTGCATTTCCATTTCGTACTCTGAAATAAATAAAATTCTATTGTTATTTATAACAATAAGACACTTTAAAAATCGACTTTTGGTCATTGTAAACCTGGCTTTTAATTGCAGCACTCATCGTACTTTCTTTTATGGTATTTACAACGAAATGCCTGTCCGACGTGACCATCGCGAATAGCGGTTAAGTTACCGGACAACCAGTTGACAGTACTGTTGACGGCCGAAAAATTCACACGCTTAACGTGTAACAAGAGAATTTCATAAAATAATCTTTCATGTCTCACTCAAAACATGTTTCATTTGTGAAAATTGTGTAAACTTTGAATTTGCCATGGGTCACTTGCAATTACTTAATTGGTGAAGATGCTTAGCAAATGACTCTGAAGTGCGAACTTGCATGGTTCTTGGTGAGATATTTGGACGATTAAGTGCATCGATTTTTTAAAAAAAAGTTTTTCAATTACTCAGTTAAGTTTATTCAGATTTAGCTTTAATCTGTTATACAATTCTTGTTCATAGCTTTTATCATAGAAATGCTTAAAATAAACCCATCTTAAATTCTTTATTTTGTAATTGTCACAATAACATGGACGACAGAAATTTTGCATTGCAGGACAAGTGTATTTGTGTTTTAGTTATTGTAACAAAATATATAATGAAAGCGAAATGGTAAAAATGTTTTTAAGAGAAATTTCAAGGTTAAATCAGGGTCTTTCAAATATTTGAAAGACCCTGGTTAAATCGCATACACAAACGCACACTATTGACCACGCACACCCACACCCAGGCACAATCGCAGGCAAAATTAAAGCCCAGAGAAAATGTAGTTTATCTTACGGGACTTCGCAAATGAAACCCTCTGGTAAATCGCACGGCGCATCATTCCATTTATATTGCTCCATGTCAAATAATGCCAGGCAATTTTCACCTGTCCCACTGTTCGGCTCGCCCGGTGCCCAATTAGTGTACATTTGCACGTACTCGTCTTTCTTTATCCAAACCCATGTGCCCTCGTGCGTGATGTCATTAGCTCCCAACCAAAAGTCCTTTTGAACAGGATTTGCTGACAACAAAGTCATAACAATTGAAAATCGATTAAAGCGACTGTTAAAATGAGAGCCTCGACACTTCCGTTGTATAACCCTCAACCAGAACAAAACTGAAACATGTTCCCACAGTTTCTAAAATACATACGCTTTTTCCTTCTTCTTTTCCTATAAATGCTATGCCACGCAGGGCATTTTTCGAGGGCTCTCATGTACACTGTTGTACAGCGTCCACCGGATATAGCCCCTAAAAACACCAAAAACGAAAGTAGAAAGCTGCACACCGACTACACCTAAAGTAATGTTTTAACTTATTTCTTCATCATAACTTCATCGATTTTTCCAAACTAAACAATTTTGAGCAGCTAAATGGTTCTTGTTTAAGAGCAATATTTGCTTTTGTCTGCAAATTGAATACTTTGTGTAAACTTGGTGATAAAATGTAGCGTATTTGTTGATATGTGCGAACGATGTTGATATTTACCACTAAATCAAGCCCAAAACGCATGTGCTGTATCAAAATTCGCCATTTAACACAAACTATAGTCCTCCCTCTACTTAGATTTGAGTTTACACCCTTCAACTCGAGCTGCTTTTAACAAAATTTGCAAAAAACGGCCTTGCCTTGTGTACAGAGTCTAGCAAAGAAAACAAATTTAAGTGAACGGGGTGTAGTAGTCTAATGTACAGGGTTTAGTAGATGTGTACGGTGTCTAGCAGTCAAATATTTTTAAAGTATAGGTTTTTATATTATTTTCAATTGGAAATAATCTCATTTCAGACTAAACATGGGTAGATTAGAAGACGATACAGAGGTATTTGGTAAATATTTTAACTTTTTAGTGTTTTTGAGCCTAACAGTATAGCTGCGCTTAATTTTATTGTCATACCATCAGCTGAATAGTGTCTGTCGGTATTTATAAGACATGTTGAGGAGTCTTCTGACCAACTCGCTGAATGGAAATGGTCCGAATGGGGATTTATATATATAAATGTGTAACTAGCCTACACATAAGACATGAGGTTGATAATTGATCAGACAATTAAAAGATTATGCACGAGTGTCATTTTCTACAAAACGGCATTAGCACTGTCTTCTATAATTCAGTTTTAGCCGCCTTATATAAGCTATTAATCGACTCAAAAGATACCGTAATAATTAATATGCCGAATAGACTCTTGGCATTGTTGAACTGAAAACATAAATACCATTATTATCATCATCGTCATCATCATCATTGAATAGTCATCATTATCATTATATTTTTTAGAAAAAGCAGCAACGTAAGCGGCAGCATTGTATTTATTAAACAATATCGAAATCACAAGTGAGGTCACCCGAGTTTGACTGCAAAAAAATATGAAAGACTAGCCACAAAAGATAAATCTAATGATTAACCTAACTAATCAAGGCGGATATTTTACCAAAGCTCATTAACATATTGTTTGTTTTTCAATGAAGTCTTAAGACCAGTGAAATAATAACCCAATATAACATGTTTAGATCAAGCATAACCCAAACATGGTTTGAAATTGTTTAAGAAAAATTTTAGAATTTGCTGTACATAATGTTCTACCACTATATAATGAAATTGTGGTCTTTTGAGTTTTACGATTTCCCTATCAACTTTTAGTCACGAATAAAAAGTGGAATAGCAGGACGGAAACTGTTTACTGCAATAAATATACATGTTGCGTAACATGTTTATAATTTAAACATTTTCATCTTTTATAAAATTAATATCATTCACTTCACAATCCCTGCTCCCGACATTAATCGTTATTTCTCCATCAGCGTACGTGTATATGCTCTGGTACTGAATTTATTTTGCAGAAAATGACATTCGTTTTCCTACTACACCCCGTACAATCGCTAACAGTTTTCCATCTACACCCCGTACACATCCGTGCTAGACTCTGTACACAAGGCAAGGTCGTTTTTCGCAAATGTTGTTAAAAGCAGCCCAAGTTGAAGGGTGAAAACTCAAATTTATGTAGAGGGATGGCTATAGTTTGTATTAACGGCGGAATTCGATACAGCAAATGCGTTTTGGGCTGGTTTTAGTTGTAAATATCAACATCGTTCGCAAATGTCAACAAATACGCTACAATTCGTCACCAATTTAACAAAAAGTATTCAATTTGCAGACAAAAGCAAATATTGCTTTAAATCAAGAATCATTTAGCTTTACAAAATTGTTTAGTTTGGAAAAATCGATGAAGTTATGATGAAGAAATAAGTTAAAACATTACCTTAGGTGTACTCGGTTAACAGCTTTCTACTTTCGTTTTCGGTGTTTTTATGGGCTATATCCGGTGGACGCTGTACAACAGTGATGTAAACAGATAAAAAAGTGAAAGAGCCAGTGTTCAGTGGCGTAATGGAATACATTAAACAGAAAACAAATTATTTTCCTTCCAGCATATTTTTTTATAAAACTGATATAGAGAAGATTTAAATAATATCATTTTTAACGATGTAACAAATTCATTCATTCATTCATTTATTCATTCATTCATTTGTCGAATGTATTTTAACATGATTATGTTCTAATTCTAAAAAAAACTTAATATCATAAGAAAAAACAGCTTACTACAGTGGATGATTTCTTAACGTAAAATCTGAACGTGACTGTCACGAAGTATACACAAGGAAAAGGTAATTTTAAGAAAAAACGTACGGTATTTTGTCTTCAGTTCTTTCTCAAGGAACAACTGTTCCGACTCAGACTCAATGCTTGCAAGTGATCCTTCACCGTCCGCATATATTCCACAATATGCCTGAAAATACAGACGATAATTTGAGCACAAGGAAAGCAAAAGAAGGACTGCTAACAGTGCGGCTTCAAACCAGGTCAGGGGCAAGTCGTTATTTCCGTAAGCAAGAAACTTTACACTCATTGCTCAGAACTGGTTGGTTCCAGGAAAAGATTCGAAAGCTGATCAGCTTATAGCTTCATACAAAATCGAGCTAAAATAAATTCATGGAGGATGTCCGTTGTCAAAATTCCAGACATGTAAAGGGTCCTTTTGAAAATCCGAAAAAAGTCGAAAATGCAAGGCATACACGTTCGCGTTTTTGAAAATTAGTTTTATAAGGAATTCTTTATATGTCTGGAATTTTGGCAACAGACGTCCTCCACATAAATTCTACATAAACCAAATGAAATTATATTACATTACAGGAAAAGGGAGATAATCAAGTGATTTGGATACTAACCATTGCATCCCACCATTTTAAAGTGGGTGTAGCGAAGATGTGGTAACAGGAACTGTCGTGTTTTATAAAATCTATTGGACATCCTGTTGACGTCTGCCGCTCGAATCTGTTGCCCAAAGCTGTAATAAAACAAACTTTAATATTCAAAACCATGCATTACTGGATGGCTAATCAGTAATTTACAATTTCCTCGCAAATTACGGACTACTTATACAGTCAAAACTGTCTTAAAGACCACATCGAAATAATGATAACAAAGAAAAACAACTTTCATAAATAAAATGGAATGAAGTTACCTCTAATTACAGAACACTTGTCCATAAAGGCTATGATTTGTCTTCTTCTTTTTTTCTTTTTTTTTTGTTAGGCGGCCTTTGTTTTTGCAGATTTGATTGTACATGAAATTCAGATCGAAGTTACTTTTGTTATGCAATGCAATCACGCTAATAAGACCACTGACGCGACTTTGCAAATTTTGTGTTTAAATATATAGTGGGTTGGTCTCATGAATGTCAGGTAAATAACAAAGCAGACCGTTTACATGATTATGTATAAATATGGTATCTGTTTATTTTTTTGTGATTTTTCTTTTTAAATTCTCTCTAATGAAAACAGATTTTGCTCATATTTCACTTTCATGTATAGTTAATAACTGGTATTGTTGGAAAGGGTTGAAATCTTGCAGCAAAAGTAACCCTTTTCAAATGACATCCCGCTATGTGGTATAACTCGTAAGGGTGAGCAATTCTTGAAAAATGACCGTCAAAGTTATGGAACTTGCCATACATATGTAAATGATAATAAAGATGGTATTCTTGTCGTTGTTTTTGTTGACTGATAATTATCTCTGTCACTAATTTTTCCAACGTGCATTTGTTTCCAGCATTTTTTATGTAAGTGCAACAACCTTGCATAAATACGAGTAATTTAGTTAGATAATCAAATGACGAAATTACTTCAAAAACGTGTCCAGTAACGCAGAAATGTGCAAATAACGTAAAAGTAACGCCACATCTGTGTAACGCTATTGCTAAAACGAATGACACAGTAAATAAACGAACCAAAATATTTTGTTCTAAATCAAATTTAAAGAAATGAAATAGCGCATACGGCTGCTACGACATTTTTATACTTTAAGCAGCTTAACAACCTGATTACCGTTTTGAAAGTGACTTTTGTGTTTTCGTCAAATAAATATGTACATTTAACACATTTAAAATATTTTTTCATATTGTGTATACCTAAGACATTTGTCAAACTTCAAAGTGTCGTATAACATTAGATGGGAACTGGTATAATAATAATTAGCTACGTTAAATGAGATAACCCCCGTTGCTCACGAATTCAGCGTTACCTGGTAAAAATGATCTCAATGTTTTATGTGTTAAACTAAGTGTTATATAACACGAGTAGATTAGACGATGTCTCGGGTACATCTAATATAAAAAAATCATAAAGTAATATGTTCGTTATTGTATTTAAAGATATCAACGAAGCTAAACATCGTCATCAATACGCTAGTCAGGTCGTCATTTTCAAGAATAATCTTGAAAAGTAAACATTTTCTTGGAAATATTTTTGATGAGGTTTAAAGTACACTGTCTCAGCAACCGTATGCGCTTATTCATTTCTTCCATTTTTGTGTACAGTAAAACGTATGGGTCCATTTACCTATCACGGTGCTCGTTTTAGTCACTAAATTGCACAATTCTGTGTTACTTTTGCACAATTCCTGCGTTATTTGCACATTCCTACTTTACTGGATATACACGGTGGTATTTATTTACAAAGTTTTAAACAAGTGATAAAAAGTGCTTTCAAAGTTCTTGGAATTATTCTTGAATTTCATATTGCTGTTGATGTTGTTTGTTTGTTGTTTTGTTTGTTGATGTTGTTGTTTTTATATGTAGTTTTGTTTTTCTTTTTTTTCTTTGTTGTTGTTTCGTTTTTTTTATTTCTTACTACTTAAAGTTCTTCAACATTTGCCCCCGCACAGATTATATTATTTAAGACATCATGCATTGACATTTATATTGACGTTGTTTTTGTTTTTGTAATTTTTTTACTATAATATTTTTCATGATGATAGTTTACGTAGTTTAAGTGCGTAAATGTATGATCTCGATCTCATAGAGCTATGATCATTTCATATTATCAACATATTAATGACCTCCCGTACGCCATTATCTCCTGCACGCCGCCATGTACGTAAATGGATATGTATTACCCTTGCAAGGTTATGAAGTCCAGTGCTAAAACTGTGAATTCAACATTTTCTTTTCGCTAATAAAACTTGCACGTACCTTCTTGACTTTTATTCAAAATTAAAGCGTAGTTGAATTATTTTTCGACCGTAGACTGTCTATTTGAGCTTGACCCTCTGTGAATTACACAGGGAATAATTGTACTGGCAATGCACATGGAATAAGTGTCCTGGAAATACACAGGGAACATGGAACAACTGTCCTGGAAATACACAGCGAACAACTGTCCTGGGAATATACAGGGAATTACTGTCCTGGAAACAAACGGGGAACAACTGTTCTGGTAATACACAGAGAACAGCTGTCCTGCAAATACATAGGGAACAACTGTCTTGGTTAAACACAGGAAACAACTGTCCAGGGAAAACACAGGGAACAACTGTCCTGTAAATAAACAGGAAACAACTGTCCTGGAAAAACACAGGGAGAAACTGCTCTGGTAATACACAGGGAACAACTGTCCTGGTTATACACAGGAAACAACTGTCCTTATAATACATAGGAAACGACTGCCCTGGAAAAACACATGGAACAATTTTCCGGGGAATACACGGGGAACAAATGAAACAAAAACAAGAAACAGGGAACAAGATTTTGCCTTTGGTGTGAAAAGGGTGTGTTGCGCACATCTCAACTATATAGGCCTATATATATTGACCTGAAGCTTATATGTTCAGGTTTGAATTAAGACGAAAGGGATCGACTTTCTGTGCGTGGGCATGTTTTTGTCCTAGATAGTATTCTGTTCGGATTTAGAAAAATCGCAGTACTGACTTAAAAATAACGAAAATATTTTTTGTTATGTCTAGATTGTTTTGTAAAAGATTATGAAAAATTCTTACCGCCATATGCACTAGTAATAAGAAGTAGTTGTCCAAATATGTAAACAAGCTGAACCATGTTTGTGTCTGAACAGAAATGCCTGTCTTGTCTTTGAGGATATTGTCAGACAGTTTATGAAGGTTACGCGCCATGCATGATAAGTCTGTAAATAGGGAGTTATAACCGGAAGCATTCGCACTTTATCGGCTCTTCGGAAAAGGATAAGAATAAGGACAATCGGAACGTCTTCGTCTAATATCTACAATAACCTCGGAGTTAATACGGATGAATACCAAGTGGTACAGATGTAAACAGAAACAGACAGTGTAAGCCTTAATTGTGTTAAGCGAATGCATATATTTGACATCCAAACGAAGATAAAGACTGTTTCGGTACAATTATAATTGGAAATATGTCTAACAACCATTTTTGACGAAATATGCCCAAAGATATACAATCTTAAACAAATTCGACTAGGCATTTTGTCCTTTCGGTTTCTACAACCATAATAATAAATATATAAATAATGTATATTGCTTTTGGTATATACATAATTTATTTTAGTTCAATTGTGTAGGAAGCTATAGACACACTTTCAAATCCGTTCCTGGAACCAAACAGTACTGAGCAATGAGTCTCAAGGAAACAACGACTTGCCTCTGACTGTTCTAGAACCCATGCGGCTAGCGATCATTACATCACTAGTCCGACGCCTTAACCACTCGGCCATGCCTTTTTCATCTATGCATTCATTTATTTTAGGTGGACTTTTACTTGATATATTGACTTGTCAAAACTCCCAGTATGAATTACCATTTGTTTACATGTTTAGTTTCTTATCGTACATGTAGGTCAGTCCCAAATACAATTTCCGGTCTATATATTCATACCATGTTCGAGGTTCTTATCCTAAGACTGACGAAAATCCTGAAACGTTGCGATTGATAGATACCTAATAAGGATTATAAAATCGTCGAGGTGTTGTGATTGGTTTTCGAAGTCAAAAAACAACAGAAGGAAAAGATGGTTGAGGTAAAAAATACAATGTAACAGGCTAATGAATAACCCTTTTCTGGATCCTATAAAGGTACCGAAGAAAAGCATTTGAGAAATAAAAAAACATTTCTGGGGCATAATGGGCCTTTAACAAAGGCGGAGCATAAAGTGTCAGCTTTCTTTCCTTTATCCAGTCACAACTTTAACCTGCAAGATTTTAAGAAAAGTAATAATATTAACAATGCATGAATGCATTGAATTAAATGAATAACATGTTATTTACAAAGAATCACTGATTTTGCAGTATTTATCATCATATTTCTACTGCGAGACTGATACAATAAGGTTTATTTTGATCTTGATTTGGTAAATTACCTGGAATGATTTCCCGTTTTGCAATGTGTAAATTACCTGGAATGATTTCCCGTTTTGCAATGGGTAAATTACATGGAATGATTTCCTGTTTTGCAATATGTAAATTAGTGTCTTTGTTCACTTAATAATATTTTACTCTTTAATACATCTTCAAAAATATCATCAAAATTAGCATGAATCTTCTTGAGGCTTTAAAAAGAAAAGAAAACGGACAAACAGACGATTTTATTATATGTAATTTTGCCAAAATACATGCTGGAAACAAACAAATCCGACATCTCAAATAGTTCATATTTTTTATTTATAATATCGTATTCTGGCTCATCCAACAATTTCATTTGCATCCCGTACTCTGAAATGAACAAAACATTTATTTAGTCCTTCCCTGATTTGAACCGTAAACCGGTTTAAACCCATCTTATATACTCTCAAGAATAATACAGATATATAATTATGTACGTAAAATTTGTGAATACTTCGCCTAAGAAAATTTATGATCTAATGTAAGAATTTGGCTCATTGAGCAACTTCCTCTTACTGAGATTTGCGTCTATATTCATATTATTGTTTAATTACAATTAACTGGGATATTGAAATATTTTCAACTAAAATGGATTTAATGAATTTAGCAAATGTTACATAATGCAATGAGACACACGCACACAAACGCACTCACTCACTCACTCACGTGAGTATACATGCACACAAACGCACGTGAGTATACACGCACACAGACACATATGAGTACGCGTACACAAACACCTGTTTTATAAGTTACATAATTGTTGAAAAGAAATTTCTTTATCTTACGGAAGTTCACAAATGAAGCCCTGTGATAGATTGCACGGCACATCATTCCATTTATACTGCTGGCCATCATCTAATCCCAGGCAATTTTCAGATGTATTTCCGTTTGGTTCGCTCGGTGCCCAAGGAGTGTATTCTTGAACATACTCGTCTTTCTTTATCCAAACCCACGTGTCCTCATGCGTGACATCATTAGCCCCCAGCCAATAGTTTTTTCCAATAGGTTTTGCTGACAAGAAAAAAATCTCAATAAGTATAATGCAGGTCAAAGGTTATAAAGAAATTATCATAGCTCAGGTATTTGATTGGTCAGAAATTGCAACAGAATGTATACTTACCAATGAAATTAGTCTCTGATACAAACAAACTTTTGATGTTAGCTGTTAGATTTAGCTAAAATAAACAATACGGTTAATGAATTTCTAAGTAAAAAATCTGTGTAGAAACTTACGGAATGCTTTCTTCAGTTTATTTTCAAGGAACATCTGTTCCGACTCGGACTCCACTGTAGCTAGTGTTCCCGCTCCGCCACCATATATTTCACAGTATGCCTAAAAATAATGGGAAAAAAGAAACCAAAAAAAAACAAATATGAATATTTAAAGCAAAAAAAAACCACAGTGAGCTTCAGATATAAGATGGCAAAGTCTGTAAGGAAAGGGAGATAAATTAATAAATAATTCTTTATAGGCCCATTATGCCTCAGAAATGCTTTTTATTTTTAATTCTGAAAAACATTTAAATTTCGGTGTACTGTTAAAGTATCCAAAAAGTTACTCATTGCCAATTATCTGGAGCATTTTTTTTCATTTGTTGCCTTTTTGTCAAAAAGAACAGTTTATAGTTCATAAGTATTTTGTATGGAAGTCAAAATACTGCTTTGTTCACATTTTGCTACTTTTATTAACAAGAGGGCCATGATGGCCCTTGTTCGCTGACCTGACCAATCAAACTCATCCGAACAATTACCTAGACAAGCATTCTGACCAAGTTTCATGACAGGTGAGTCAAAATTGTGACCACTAGGGTGTTAACAAGGATTATCCATATTTGAGCAGTGTGACCTAGTTTTTTACCCAGGTGACCCATATTCGAAATTGACCTAACATCAAAACAAACTTTCAGACCAATTTCCAGGATACTTGGATCAAAACAGTAGCCACTAGAGTGTTAACAACATTTTTCTATTTTTAGCCCCGGTGACCTAGTTTTTCATGCGAGATGACCCATGTTCGAACTCATCCGAGTAATTACCTTGACAAGCATCCTGACCAAGTTTGATGATAATGAGTCAAAAATGTGACCACTACAATGTTAACAAGGTTTTTCCATATTTGGGCAGTGTGACCTAGTTTTTGACCCCAGGTAACCCATATTCGAACTTGACCTAGAAATAATCAAAACAAATTTTCAGACCAATTTACAGTATATTTGGATCAAAACAGTAGCCACTAGAGTGTTAACAAGATTGTTCTACTTTTAGCTCCGGTGACCTAGTTTTTCATCCGAGATGACCCATGTTCAAAGTCATCTGACCACTTACCAAGACAAGCATTCTGACCAAGTTTGATGATACTTGAGTCAAAAATGTGACTGCTAGAGTATTAACAAGGTTTTTCTATTTTTAGCTCCTGTGACCTAGTTTTTTCATTCGAGATGACCCATGTTCGATTTCATCCGAGCTATCAGCTAGATAAGCACCCTGACAAAGTTTGATGATGATTGAGGCAAAATGTGACCGCTAGAGTGTTAATGAACAAGTGTGGACGGACGACAGACGACGGACATTCAACGATCCTTAAAGCTCACCCTCAGCAAGCTTAGGTGAGCTAAAAATTGTTTCACATTTATCAATTTATCGCTTCTTCTTTCAGGTAACAAGCATCTAACATTCTGTATTATTTAAACATTATAAAATTCATGTTTGCCCTTTCTGGAGAGCCAAAAAAATATATTTGTTTTTGGGGCATAATGTGCCTAGAACTGTATTACTAACCATGGCTTCCCACCACTTTAAAGTGGGTGTAGCGAAGATGTGGTAACAGGAATTTTCGTGTTTTATAAAATCTATTGGACATCCTGTAGACGTCTGCCGCTCAAATTTGTTGCTCAAAGCTGTAATAAAACAAACAAAAAATAGTTTCCTTAATTAAAGTATAGGCTTTAGAATTATTATTTCATCATGGTGGCTTACTAAAAATGAACGCGCACGTGTGTGATCTCACGGGTTTTCTAATTTAGAGTATTCATTATGTCAACATTATAATTATATCCTCAAAGGTTTAACGAAATACTCCTGTCAACAAATTGAAATTAAAACGTGCACTTTTACATGAAGCATGTATAGCAAGACAGCTGGAACAGCCGGAACTCATTTTCGTTTACTCCGGCTGTTCCGGCTAGCCGGAATCCGGTTCCGGCTATACATGCTGGCCAGGGATGATACGGTAAAACCTGTACAAAAGACCATTGGCTAATAATGTAGTGTCAAATAACTTATCACATCGATCTCCGGCTATTCCGGTTAGCCAGAAGCACAGAAATCAAGGCTACATAAGATGGAAAAAAAACGACAGCAGATCGAAGAACATATGTGTCGTGCATTGTGTGTCCGGGTGTCCGCGAATATAGGTGTGTCCGTCGGGAATATTCTGGTATTTTGCCGACGTTGAGCCGAAAAACGTACTATACAGCTCATATCTGGCCAAATCCGGCTGGCTCAATTACGCAGACCCCATATGGTCGGATGGTTAGGGGATCTGACCGGGTGTCCGCGGGCATAGGTGTGTCCGTCGGGAATACTCTGGTATTTTGCCGAAGTTGAGCCGAAAATCGTACTATCTGGTATCAACCAATTTCCAGGATACTTGGATCAAAACAGTAGCCACAAGAGTGTTAACAAGATTTTTCTATTTTTAGCTCCGGTGACCTAGTTTTTCATCCGAGATGACCCATGTTCGAACTAATCCGAGCAATGACCTAGACAAGCATCCTGGCCAAGTTTGATTATAATTGAGTCAAAAATGTGACCACTAGAATGTTAACAAGGTTTTTCCATATTTTGGCAGTGTGACCTAGTGTTAAACCCCAAGTGATCCATATTCAAACTTGATCTAGAAATAATCAAACCAAAGTTTCAGACCAATTATCAGGATATTTAGATCAAAACAGTACCCACTAGAGTGTTAACAAGATTTTTCTATTTTTAGCTCCTGTGACCTAGGTTTTCATTCGAGATTACCCATGTTCAAACTCATCCGAGCACTTACCTAGACAAGCATCTTGATTAAGTTTGATGACACTTAAGTCAAAAATGTGACCGCTAGAGTGTTAACAAGGTTTATCTATTTTTAGCTTCTATGACCTAGTTTTGCATCCGGGATGACCAATGTTCCAATTCGTCCGAGCTATTACATAGACAAGCCTCCTGACCAAGTTTGATGATGATTGAGTCAAAAATGTGACCGCTAGAATGTTCACAAGGTTTTTCTAATTTAAGCTCCGGTGACCTAGTTTTTTATCCGGGATGGTCCATGTTCAAACTCATCCGAGCTATTACCTAGACAAGCATCCTGACCAAGTTTGATGATGATTGAGGCAAAAATGTGACCACTAGAGTGTTAACAAGGTTTTTCTATTTTTAGCTCCGGTGACCTAGTTTTTATCCGTGATGAGTCATGTTCGAACTCATCCGAGCAATCACCTAGACAAGCATCCTGACAAACTTTGATGATGATTGAGACAAAAAATGTGACCGCTAGAATGATAACGAACAAGTGTGGACGGACGACGGACATTCAACGATCCTAAAAAAGAAAATTAGCAATTTATTAACAGAAAAAACCTTAACAGGGAAGGTTAACACGATCAGCTTAAAATAAATAGAATAACGTCGTACATGTTTTTGATTTCATTTTAATAGTTTGTAACTTCATCTAACAGCAAGACTCGTTATCATTATCCCCCGCCAATGTAATCGGGAGGGGGATATAGTTTTGGCGTTGTTCGTCCGTCCGTCCGTACGTCCGTACGTCCGTTCGAATTTCGTTTCCGGACTAGTTCTCTGCAACTACAAGCTGGAATTCAATGAAACTTTATGGGAATCATCAATATCAAGAGGAGATGCGCATATCGTCGGCTTGTTCCAGTCAGACCCTTTAACTCAGAGTTATGGCCCTTGATTAGTTATGTAGTATGCATATAGAGTAAAAATCGTTTCCGCGCTACTTCTCTGCAACTACTGCCTGGAATTCAAAAAAACTTTATGGGAACCTTCAATATCAAGAGTGGATGCGCATATCGTCGGCTTGTTCCGGTCCGACACTTTAACTCAGAGTTATGGCTCTTGATTAGTTATGCAGTATGCATATAGAGTAAAAATCGTTTCCGCGCTATTTCTCTGCAACTACTGGCTGGAATTCAACGAAACTTTATGGGAACCTTCAATACCAAGAGGAGATGCGCATATCGTCGCCTTGTTCCGGTCAGACACTTTAACTTAGAGTTATGGCCCTTGATAAGTTATGCAGTATGCATATAAAGCAAAAATCATTTTCACGCTACTTCTCTGCAACTACTGGCTGGAATTCAACAAAACTTTATGGGAACCTTCAATACCAAGAGGAGATGCGCATATCGTCACATTGTTCGGGTCAGACACTTTAACTCAGAGTTATGGCTCTTGATTAGTTATGCAGTATGCATATAGAGCAAAAATCGTTTCCTCGCTACTTCTCTGCAACTACTGGCTGGAATTCAACAAAACTTTACGGGAACCTTTAATACCAAGAGAAGATACGCATATCATTGCCTTGTTGGGGTCAGACATTTTAACTCAGAGTTATGGCCCATGATTAGTTATGCAGTATGCATATAGAAAATTATTTGTTTTTGCGCTACTTCTCTGCAACTACTGGCTGGAATTCAATGAAACTTTATTGGAACCTTCAATACCAAGAGGAGATGGGCATATCGTCGCCTTGTTTGGGTCAGACATTTTAACTTTTAGTTATGGCCCTTGATAACTTATGATGTATACAACCAGAGCAATAATCGTTTCCATGCTACTTCTCTGTAACTACTGGCTAGAATTCAATTAAACTTTATGGGATACGAAGAGGAGGTGTGCATATAGTCGCCTTGATCCGGTCAGACACTTATAACTCAGATTTATGGCCCTTGATTAGTTATGCAGTATGCATACATCTCATTGGCATTTCCAGATATTACTATTTAACACAGAGTTATGGCTCTGTTATTGCCATGAATATTTATCAAGTTCAAAGAATATTACTGTTTATACCATGATAAATATATAAAAAAAAGCCTTATGTCTCCAGTTGTTGTGTTAGTAATAACCAGTACTCGGCGGGGGATATAAATTCAACGAATTTGCTTGTCGATATTCTTTACCTAAACATATACTGACTGTTGAATGACAACCGTTCACTGCCCCCCCCCCCACACACCCGAATCTTTTTTCTTTGTTTTGATTTTTACGACACGTCAACACATAACTGTCCATATCGTACCGCATGCTATAATAGGATTAAAATGTTATGTTAAACTTTGTAAATGACAATATAACTGAGCCAATTAGATCCTAGAATACAAGGTTTGTCTGTTTTAAATAATCAATGATGTTTTTGATGGAATTGTATTAAAGAGTTCTTCGAGTGAATTTACACTATAAAATGTATTACGGGCCTCTGAAAAATCATGACATTCAAGAAGAAAATGCTTGACAGTAAAATTTTCATTACAAGCTACACAGAAATGGGCACCGTCACTCGTGAGGAGACAAAAGCGGGCAATTCAAGCGTGTCCAACTCGTCATCGAAGAACTGCCCGACCACGGCGGCCTGACAGAGACGGTGACACATCAAGAGACGGGTCCACATCGTGAAGCCCATTAAAAACGGCACCGTCCCAACCCGCCCTCCATCCAAACGACACGAGTCTACCCACAGCCGGCCCAAATCCACAAGCAGACAACAACAAGCCAGCCCCCCGAAAATTCAACGACCGTCCAGCCAAAGCACCCACCCCTCCATCCCCCCCGCACACTCACGTTACCCGGAATCCAACATAACACAACAGACTCCGTCTCCAGCCCATTACGAAACCGCAAAAGAAGCTTCCCCACCACGACACTGCAAGATTGTTTATCCCCAATGGACACCAAAACAAAAAGCGAGCATTTGAAAGGTTAATATTTTCCCTCGGGAAACCATAAACCCAAGGCGGAACAGTCCCACCGCCACCCTGAAGGATACTGTCTGGATCAATTTTAAGTCCATCAAAATCATCTTTTAAACGAAGGCCCAAGGCCCAATTTCCCTTGGCTTGTTAACAAATTTTTCAAACTTGGTTTAAAAACAATATTTTTAGCCAGACGAAACCCTAGTTACACACCGAAGCGACAGCTTTTTTCGACGAAGACGAAGCGACGGCTCCCAAGCCTCCGCATACAGACCCGCCACAGGCGAGGCACGAAAAGCACCTAAAGCCAAACGCAAACCCCGGCGATGCACGGCACCCAGCACCCGAAGATACGACCCTCCCGCAGACCCACACACCACAGAACCACAATCCAACTCCGATCGGACAAGACTTCTGCACAACTCCAGCAATGTGGAAGAACCCGATCCCTAATAAAGAACAAGCCTTTGGTCACTACTCGACTTTTGTCAAATTGAATATTTTATTGTGAAACTGGTTGTCACAAGGTTATAGGTGTATCGTAGACGTGTTAACAGACATTTCCCATATAAAGTTTCAGTTGAATTCTGCTGAATGGAGCCTACAACTCATAGAAACAAGTCAGAATTTTTGATATTTGATCAAAATGACCACAATATCATAGTATTCCAGTGACAAACAGTCGGACCCCTAAGTACCAAAGACAGATGGTGATATTTCAGCTTTTTGAATTCTCGGGTTCATCTCCACGAATTCGTGAAGTTGAAACCGTGAATTCATGTAGTTGAAATCGTGAATTAGAGAAGTTAAAATCGTGAACTCGTGCAGTTGAAATCGTGAATTCATGAAGTTGAAGTTGTGAATTCCTGAAGTTAAAATCGTAAATTCGCGTATGTTGAAAACGTTAACTCACGAAGTTGAATTCGTAAATTCACGAAGATATAATCGGGAATTCATGAAATTGAAATGTCCTCGCTGGTCTTTCGTGCCTAATAATATAAGTTTATGGGTTTGTGTTGAACTGAACCTGATCACAAGAGAAAGCTGAAAATGGCGAGCTTTGAGCAGATATAACACTTTTTATCGGCTTATTGTTTACAGAAAACCAGAATATTCCCAAATGGGCTTTTTGGGTACAGCCAGAAATGGTAAGATATGAGCTGAAATTACCATTCACAGTTCGATTTTTGGCTTAAATCGGCAGAATGCCAGTGTTTTTCCAACAGACAACCTATACCAGCGTACTCATGGTTTGACCCCTAAGAATCCAAACATATAGAAAAAGGTGAGATATGAGCTAAAATGACAATTTACATTTCGATTTTCGGCTTAAGGTCGGGAAAATATTCCCGACGGACACACATATACCAGCCTCACAGAGGCCAGCCGGAATTGGCAAGATATGAGCTGAAATGACCATGTATTGTACAATTTTCGACTCAACGTCGGCAAAATACCCGACGGACACAGCTATACCCGCGAACACATGGTCAGCCCCATAACCATCCCACTATATGAAATTCTGCAAAATTGGTTCTGAGTATCACAGGAGACATAAGGAAATGGCAATATATAAGCTTCAACAATCATTTACATTTTGATATTTGGCTTAACGTAGGCAAAATATTTCTGGCAGACACACCTATACCAGCGGACCACTTTCACGAACATCATTAATTACACTAGTAAATCAACTAAGCGGACAGAAACAATTTTTGCGAAAACACTGCTTAACGACCAATGATACAATTATTACTTATATTACCAAATCCATGAACAAAATGGAAACAACAACAGCTACAACAAAAAAATCTAATGAACAGACAATCTAAGTTTGAACAAAGACCACGTTTGTTAATTGTGACAGGCTTCAATTCTCCAAACCTGCAATCTTTTCAGACATGTCTAAAAGTCCATCTTCACATTTGCTCTTGATCCTATCCGTTACCGACTTTAAGTCATCTAAACCAGAAGTAATTTCCTTCAGATCTTTCGTAATGTTCTCCACAAGTTCTGCCATACTTTTCGTGTTCTCTACAACGAGAAGTAAATAAATAAATAGATAGATAAAATTTATGAATAATATTGCTGTTAGACTAAAAACAAATATCCATAAACCATGAAACATGTATCATCACTTAAGAGTAGTAGCAAACAAATAAGCAAGCCATTTCTAATACATAGTTAAACATTAATGGGCACTATACGGAACTGAAAAATTTACAACATTGGTCAGTTATATGCCTTAAAGGACACCTGTATGCACAATTTCAAGATAATTTACCGCAAGGTTTACAAGTTGTGAACACAATTATTAAATAAAAGCATGGATATCAGAAGGGTTGTTTGACAAAAATCAAATATGACATAGTTGTGGAAAAATTCGTTTATTTCTATCAATTTGGAAGTGAAGTTTTCAAATTTATTAGCAAAACTATTTTTTTGTACTTTAATATCGCAATATAACTTTATTCATAGATTATAACATACATGTATTAGATCTTTTCATGATGATAAAATTACATTAAAGTCACATTTTCAACGAAGGCATATTTTGTCCAGTTCCCAGAATTCCAATATACAGTCTAACCTGTCAACAGTAGCAAGGGAGGAGACTGGGAAAACACTGGCCGTTTATGGCAGGTTGATATATATAAATGAATAAAGCATGACTTGTATTATCATAATAAACAATGTATATATTTTCTTATCAAATGAAGTATTTCAGTGCGCATTTGCAGCATTAAATGATACAATTGCAACTTTTTGATTGAGTCAAAACAGGAGAAAATCTTTGTTTAGTATCTATCTAGAAAATATTATTATAAGATATAGAAACAACTTGATTAATACAATTGTGTATGGTGGCTGATTTGTGCCATGTCGTATATTCGCTCCGCGGGGCGCCGGGCGAAAACACGAAATCAGTATTTTGTTGTACTTTTACTTCACGAGACGAACCACAACAATAATACAAAATCACCCTGTGGGCGAAAGAACACCATCAAATTAGTGACTTTATCGTATGTTCATGTTTTCGCATTTTCGAGCGAAAGAACAATAAATTTTTATTTGTTTCTTTTTTCACATTTTCGCCCCGCGGAGCAGAAGTACGACAAAATGTTGACTTTGTCGTATTTTCGTGTTGTTTTTTTTGCCCATCTTTTCCCCCTGCGGAGAGAAAGTACGACAAATTTTCGAAATTTTGTCCGGCGACCCGGCACAAAACAGCCAGTTTCGTCATTACTTTGTTTAATTATATTCCGCCAGTTATGGCATCAAACCACTTTAGTCCTTAGCAAACGTCGTACTTTTATCTAATCCACAAATACACAGATACATTTTGCAACTTTTAACATTTCGTAAAGGCAAACAAACTGTTATTAACATTTAAAATTGTTAATAATAATAATAATAATAATAATAATAAAGTTAAAACCAGGCTCCCAGTATGCGCATAATGTCAGAAGGTCGAAACGCAATGTTAACATGTGAAATTATGGAGTGTAACCCTCTGATTCTCTCATGTGAGGTGTAATGATTAACACTATTGGTTGGACAAGGTAATGCTTTTATGGTTGTTCCTACTAGCAAATATGTTAATAAGTATTTAAATAATCCTCATAATGATTTAAAAACGTTTTTAAAAAATAGAGACATACTCGTGTTCTCAAAAACGGTGCTTTTATTAGTCATTGTATCGTTTAAAACGTCCGTCTGTCTTTCCAAATTGTCTATATTGTCTTGCTGCTCCAAGAATCTGTCCGATAATTCGCTATTATTTCCCTTAATGTCAATCATTAAATCCATAACATTTGAAACACTTTTTTCTTCATCTTTTTGTATGTTTTCCAAAAAGAATTCAATGCCCACCATTTTCTCCAGTAACTGTTCGTCAAATGAAAACTTTGAACACACGGGCTCCACGAGCACTTCTTCAATTAATTTAAGCTGACATATGAATAGCACTGCAAATATGTACAATTTTGAAAATAGATTTTTAGAACTTTCCATTTCGATTGCAGTGAAAAAAGTACACAACTTATGTTAGGGCTCTGTTAAAAAGAAATTGGGTGTGTTTTATAAATGTACCTTTTATAAAAAACCTTGACATATCCTACATCATGTTAGTTAATGATGTTTTTTTCTTGCGATAGACATGTATACAAAACAAAGTCAGAGATTGTGGTTTGAATTTGGAACAACTTTTTAGCTAAAAACAAAGACACATTCTGAACCTAGATTGCAAAGTACGTGCAGCATTTTTCCACGGCAACAGCATATTGGTGATACATTTTCTTGAAAATAAAACTTTAACGAAACAACTACAACAAAACCGACAAAACATACAAAATTATAGTTATAAAAAAACAACAACAACAAAACAACTCCCATAAAAGAACAACAACAAATACAATACAAAACAACAACAACAAAAACAACTGTTTGAAATCCATGCTCAATTTTAAATTTTCAAAGAGTTTAGAACAAATAACAGCATAATAATGATGCTTAATACAAAAAAAAAATATTTTTCATAATTCAATACTCTAAGGGTGCCTTACTTAAGGAAATAAATTTTTTCTTCAATATGTTATGTATGTAATATATTACATGTATATAGTATTATCACTGTTCTATTTTTAGAACATAAACTACATGTATGTACTAGAACTTTCTTAACTGTTGTAGAAAACTCATGCATTATATTTAGATAGAAATTTCCGGAATGTTCTTTATTGTTGAAGTTGCTAGATTATGATTACTGTAGAAAATGGAAGACTATTCTAGAAACTTCTTAGCTTAATTTATATAGGAGACATTTTTCTTTCCTATTACCTTTTAAGTCATCAGTGATCTTTTAAGTCATCAGTCATCAATATATTTGGAGTATTATTCAATTTGGATATTAAGGGATTTATTGGAGCTTGGATTATTTTTAATTATTCTTGTGGATTTTATTGTGGGAATTTATTCTAAAGTGGATTTTACTTGGATTTAACTGTGCTATTCAAAGAAGGATCATTCCAGGATCAGACTAGACATTTGAAATTTATATCTTTATTTGGACTTCAGGTATTTGTAAACATAAATTGTTCTTCAATTTTTCTTAAATAATTTTTCTGTAATAAATTTGTTATTGTTACAAGTTTGTTGCTGGCTTTTTTTTCTCGTTACGCCTGGCTCGTAACAGAAATTGGGGGCTCGTCCGGGATTGAATATTTCTTTTTGGCTACATTATTGGAAATTATTACCGTTTATTTTACATTTTATTATTACCGTATTTACTAATCTGAGTTGATATCATAGTTGTTCTATTTAGTGTGTCTTTTAATTCTGAAATTTTTCAAACACACCACTTTTAAGTTTAAAACCAGCAGCAAGCAGTCATGTCTTTTGATTTAGAAAAGTTTGTAGCTGAACCTTCCCAGGAAATATTAGATTTGGCTAAGAAAACTGATTTGCTCAAAATTGCAAAACAGTATAATTTATCAGAAATTAAATCTGTCATGCGTAAACAAGAAATTAAAAATCTTCTGATTCGTTATTTTGTGGATGAAGATATTTTTGGAGAAGATGCACTTTCTCAGATTGTTGAAATACACCCTGAAATAAAGATAAAAGAGCTTGAACTTCAATATTAAATTTGAACTAGAGAAAATGCAGTTAGAAAAAGAAAGGGAAGAAAAAGAAAGGGAAGAAAGGCAGTTACTGTTAGAAAAAGAAAGGGAAGAAAAAGAAAGGGAAATGCAGTTTGAAAAAGAAAGGGAAGAGAGAAAATTAGAAAAAGAAAGAGAAGAGAGAGAATTTCAGTTAAGAATGAGAGAATTAGAAATCAAAGAGAGAGCAAATTAGTTTAAACATAGAATAAATTCAAAATTTGTATTTTCTTCATTTTGAAAAGGTTGCTGAAAATTTAAAATGGTCAAGAGAGCACTGGACATTACTTTTACAGAGCGTCTTAACTGGTAAAGCTCGTGAAATCTATACACAACTTACTGTTGAACAAAGCTCTAATTATGATAATGTAAAAGAATTAATTCTGAAAGGTTATGAGTTAGTACCAGAGGCCTACAGGCAAAAATTCAGAAATTCTAAGAAAGAAATTGGTCAAACCCATGTCGAATTTGCAAGAGAAAAAGAACAACTTTTTGATCGGTGGTGTCTATCTAAGAAAAAAAATAAAAATCATGAAAAGCTCAGACAGCTCATGTTAGTTGAAGAGTTTAAACGTTGTATTCACTCTGATGTTAAATCTTTCTTAGATGAAAAACAGGTAGAAACTTTAGAAGAAGCTGCCCGTCTAGCTGATGATTATTCTTTAACCCACAAAGTCTCATTTATAAATAAAGGGAAGTCCACACCTTCACATTTTAATTCCAAGTTCAGTTCTGGTAATTTATCTGGCTCATCTAGTCAGTCAAATGCTCCCAAACCAAAGTCATCTGATGAACATAAAGGTCATAATCCCTTATCTCGTCCTACATGCAATTATTGCAAGAAAACTGGACATCTTATTTCTGATTGCTTTACCTTAAAAAGGAGGCAACAGCAACGTGATGTGGCCAAACCCACAGGTCTTACCACTTCAAGGTCTGAACCTCAGTCTTGTATTGATAACAATGCAATTTTGAAGGTCATAGAACCCAAGTCTGATTCTATAATGGAGATTTATGAACCATTCCTTTCGGAAGGTTCCGTGTCACTTATCGGTGATACTTGCCCACCTACTCCTTTTAAAATTTTAAGAGACATAGGAGCTTCTCAATCTCTTATTTTAGCAGATGCACTGCCTTTTTCTGAGAAGACTTCTTCTGGATCTAGTGTCCTTATTCAGGGTGTAGAGTGTGGTTTTTCTAATGTCCCTCTCCATAATATTTATTTGTCCTCAGATTTGGTAACTGAGCCGGTGGCTGTAGGTATAAGATCTTTCTTACCCTTTAAAGGTGTTCATTTATTCCTAGGTAATGACTTAGCTGGAGATAAGGTAGTGGTTAATCCACCTGTAACTGACACTCCTTGTGTGGATCAGA